CAAACGTTGCTCCTAAAAGAGCAAGTGACTGTTAGAAGGAGAAAGTGCATTGAGATACATTATATTCTACAAGGTATCAAAGAAGGATATAAATTGCTCTACCAACACAAATATTTTGAATTTAAAAATTCATTGTTGTCTCCAACAGAGCAGCGATACTTTATTTTTAAAAGACCAAGAACACTATGGTAGAATGAAAAAAACTGAATAACAAATACTCTGTTAGAGTAAACACTCATGTGGAGCAAAATCGTTCTGGTGTAGTTGAATAATTAATTCACTATTTTCTCTAGAAGAGAAATTGTAAAATTTGACATAACTGATTCTGGTTTCAAGACGAAACAAGAAAATTTATATGCTTTAAATTTGGAGAACTAAGAGTTTCTTCCAACAAATTAGAATATCAATCGATATGTCGATGAGATAGCCACATGTATGATTCTCGTGAACTTGCAACCTGAAGTTTGCAGAAACTTAATTATGGAGTTAATTTGGTAACTTGTCGATTTTCATGTTATGCTTTTACGAGAATTTTGATCTGACAGTTGTGGTGAGTATGACTCAATACCAGAATGATAGAAGTTGAACATTGAGTGCCTATAAGAGCAACAATGAAGCGGTCCAGTAGAATCGTTTATTGTACGTGTTCAATTAAGGTAATTATCTCATGTATAATTCAGAAAGTATTGAAACATAAAAAGCACGAAGTATATGCATAAGACCAAACACGTCATTATAGATATTCTCCCCAACATTGGTTTTTGGTTAGAAACTATACATATCCATCTTTAAATATTAGATGTGTAGTTTATATATTATAATTATTCCACCACAATGCACACAATGATGGAGCTTCCAGAAGAGGTCAGAAATATATGTTGAATATTGAATCTCTAATGTTTGAGATTATTGATGTTGGATTAACTACTCGATAGACTGATTGTATTAGTTTGGCAAGTTAGTTACTCTCAAAAGGGAGATTATTAACTGCTCGGTTGGTTAACATTTTAGCGAGTTAGTATCCCAACATCAGGGGAGAGAAGTTAAAACAACCTATTATAAATCAGATGGACAATATAATTACCTCAAGATGATGCTCGATAACATGAACCTGAAGTTCAAGAGATAATTTTTAAACCAGATGTTTAACTGACCAAAACATGTGATTGAACGTCCATTTGAACATGTGATTGAACGTACATGCAAAAGGCTGTCAAGTTTCAAATCTTGAATAATGTTCTTGTATGACCATCTACCACAATTATTGAATGTCCATTTGATGAGTTGTAGAAGGTCGGTTCCAATGATAAAAATTCTCGTAAATGATAAGGTTTAAATTTATAGAGATGGCAAATATGAGTGATTATAATTCATAAGAAGAAGTACCAAAGAACATGGAAACTTTCACTACGGTGAATTAACTTCCAGAAGAAGTATATGAATATTTGGGAAACTTAATGTTCTTGTGAGATCTCATTACCAAAGAACATGGAATCGATCTGCAATAAAATGTCGACATGAAGTTTGCATATAATACAACAGTTAGTGAAATGAATGAAGATCATGAAAGTCTGTTGTAGGTACAAACATTAAACTTGTTGGCCACAATAAATAAAAAGACGAGATACACACCTGAAGATGTGTAAGTTGAATTAGACCTCTTTGAAAGACTAGAAGTTTTGGCCAGTGATACACATGCTAAATATTGTTAGATGATTGTGCAAACTGTTAATGAACAACCAACTTACTGCACAAGTTTTTCAATATCTAGATGTTAATCATGAGAAGATATATTCTATTGTGGTGGATGGAAATAAAATTCTTCCAATATTTACTGTATCAGGCAGTAAATGAAGATATGAAAAGTGATGTTTGATAATGATAGTGATCACTTGATACTTAATACGTGATATTTAATAATGATGTCTTTACGAAATCCCTGAAGGATTCAATAGAGGACATGGTCCTTATTCTTGAGAAATTAATTCAAAAGACTTGACGCAAGTTCTAGTGTCTTCATGTGTCTAGATTAATATTTAGGTTCATATTTTTGAATATAATAGATATAATTGTTTGTGCACTTGTTTATATATCATGCTTATCTATCATGTGATTGCCTGTGATTTTCTCTGAGCTTATATGATCATATTCGTATGATAAACTATTGAGTTGTTTTGTAATTTCGTTAGTAACAAACTCTTGAAGAATTTCAAAAGGCTAAATATTATTGAAACTTATCACGAAATTCGAATAGCCTGAATATGAATAAAACTCCTGAAGAGTTATATCATATTTATTAACACTTCTAAGGAAGTTCAAAAGGTTACTAATTGCCTGAAGAAAGAATAATAAAAGATCTTGAGTGGAATCTCGGTCTAAATAGTTTGACCTTTGTATATTCAACACCTGTTGAGTGCACTTAATTAAAATCTTGATGTGCTTATAGATGCTTCTTCTTGATTTTCTATTAATGATGTTGACCGATTTGGTCATGAAGTAACATATAAAGTTTCGGTTTATCTAATCAATCAGTCAAGACTTGAATGTTGTGTATCATGGTCATGCATCTCCATTATTAAAAAAACAATCAAGATTATATAGGTATATGAAGACGATTGTCTGCATGAGAAGTCGAAGTAATTTGTCTATTATTAATTTCAACAACCATAGACCTGGTCAATACCTCGGCATACAACGAGAAGATTACAAGTGGCGTACTTAATTGGGAGAGTAACCCACGATGTACTCTTTTTTTCCTTGATCGAGGTTTTGTCCCAATGGGTTTTCCTGACAAGGTTTTTAACGAAGCAGCGTCTCATTCGGAAATGTACTCCTTTCCCTTCACTAGGGTTTTATCCCAGAGGGTTTTTCCTTGTAAGGTTTTAACGAGACATAGTTCCGCAACGATGGACATCTAAAGGAGGAGTGTTATGAAAAAATCTGATTTGATTGAATGTTCACATTAATATGTATTATTTTATTCACAATCAAGGAGATATGATTATGTAATATTTAGCATTGATGATAGGTGATTTATTTCCCATAGTTTGATCCCTAACTTCTTATATAAATATGAAGCTCATTCATGCTTCAAAACACATATAAACACAAGTCTCTTATCTCTATCTACTCTCTTATGTCTCTCTTATTCTTATGCTTAGTTTCATATTAATAGTCTAGCATTAATTTCTAACAAATATGATATTGTTATTAATTATAAATAGTTCATAATCAAAGAAGATATATTTTGGACATAAATTCATAATAATACTATAATTTTTATTATCATGATTTCATACATATAATCTATTTTTTGGACACAATTACAAGTCAACATTGTACTAAGTTCAGATTTCAAAGTCAGAGTTCAGATGTACTTATGCATTTCATCAAACAACATGAATTTTATTCAGACTTCAGCTTTCGGACTCTAAATTAAATTTTACCAAACATGGTAAAGTGTTGAATTATAGAAAGATATTTAAAATTTAATCCACTGGGTACAGTATACTATTAATCTTTACATAATTAATTACACTTGAATCGTCTAGTTCATCTACCATTCTTATAAGTGAATGATTATAGGAAATTATTGCAATTTTGCTGTGGGTTGAGAAAGTTTCTTAGAAACTGTGTGAGAAAAAAACTACAAAAATGCAAGTAGGCTGATCATGATAACAAGGGCTTGTTTAATAAAAAAATATTGGTTAATCATGAATTGAAATAGAAATGTTAAATTGATAATAAAGTTTAAGTCTAAAGGGGTTAATTTATAAATTTGAATTTTTAAGACAAACCATTCTTGTTTGATCAACATACTAATCAGAATGTTTTAACTGTGTAAACTAATGATTTTAAGTAATAATTCAAGTTACCAAACACGTCCTAAGAAATGGCATGAGATCTATAATTAGATTCAATATTGAATTATATGACAATCAGACAATACAAAGAAGGGGAAATTAGGGTTTTATTAAGTGAGCTATCTTTTTCTGAATTGTATTGGATCCTCCAGCCCTAAAATATAGTAGTTCACTTTATTGCTTCCTATTCCAAGTACCATGTAACCTCAGTAACAACTTGGCCATCCATCCCAAGTTTCTTGTATCAATTAGATCTGGCTGATTTCTAGCATATCTAATGAAATTTCCCTTTTCAAAAAAAAAAAAAAGGGAAAGGGAATTAAAAGATTTAAGAAAACGATGTAAACAGAACTTTTAAGATGGATACAAAATTCGTGTAAAGTTAAGGTGCTAAAGATGCAAAAATTTTCTAGTGGTGCAAGATTACAAAATCCAGTTGGCGGGTACAGTTATATGATAATTGAATATGAACAACAAAGTATCCATTGTTAAACTGAAATTCAGATCACGATCTGCAAAATATCATTTAATAATGTTATCAAAATTAATGATTTTAGTAAAGTAAACCTTAATCATGTCACGGTACTAAATATTGACGAACCTTTAGAATTACTCTTCTGTAATAAATTTTTGCAAATGTCACTGCACATTGTTGATAATAATAAAAATCAATTTAAAAGAAGGGAGCTTTTTGTTCTGGCGTTCTTTTCATGATACCTTTCCCAATTTGAAAAGTGGGAAAATGTTCCCATTTTCAAATTCTTCCTTTACTAGATTCTCGTATCAGATTTCACTTAATCCCTCCCCTTGTTTATCCTCTTTCCTGCTTTTTACTAGTATTAGTTAGAGTTCCTACTCCTACTTCCTGCCGCGTTTGTCTTTGGAATTCTCAAAGAGAATTATTTCTGGAAAAAATTGATCTTTTTTCTTTAAAGAAAAAAGAAAACTGAAAATGGGTTTTTATGGGTTCAATTGTAAGATTTCACTTTGAGTTTTAGCCCGTTTGCAGTTGCTACAACTTCTTCCGAGGCTCGCTGTTGTTTTGAGGCTGAAAAGGAATCGGTTTAAAAGCTTTATGCTGAAATGGGATTATCATAGTTTCTGATTGGACTAGTTACAACTGAATTTTGAGTGGAAATGGAGGAGAAATCTGTTGGTTTGGATGTTACAGAGCTGATGATGGATCAACCCACCCAGTCCCCAGCAATGGAGAATAGAGATTTGCCTCTGCCTCATCAAAGTGTTCTGGTAAAGTTTAATCTTTACTGCTACTGCCTGCAGACACGAACTGATAGTCATGCCACTTGTTGTTTGATTCAATAAGATAGATATTTTCTCTATTTGTTTTTGGTATTTGTTATATTGGAGGATTATGCAGTATTGATTTATCTTTAATTCAATCTGTTTGATCAGATATATTTGAGATGTGAACTGAGAGAAGTAGATGAAAGAGTACTGTGAGCGCTTGTTGATTTCAATTTCGGGTATCTCATAGCAAATGTATGTTTGATTTTGCTCAATAGTGCCATCGAGAAATATCACTATTTGTTGCAGAGAGTCTGTTTCTTAACCGATGATATTGAAGAATTAGGAAGAACAAATTGTCAAGGATTCGGGAGAATGCCAATGTAGTAACTGTTAAAGTGTTGCAACAAAGCAGAATTCCCCTAAACTTTGAGGCACAAAAAAAGGAAAAAAAACCTATGATGGAGACTTTTTATTCTTAGTGTAGATTCCTAGAGGAATTTGATAACAGATGGTCATAGATGTGTCAATTATAGATGTGCAAACAGGGTATTATCTCGCTTTGCAGTGCTACAACTACTTGGTTGAATGTTTCTCCTAATATCAGATTTTATTAATTTCTACAATTAAACATAATTTGATTTATAGGAGATGATTAATAACAGTATTTAAAGGTCAAATTGGAAGCTAAATTTCCTCCTGATAATGAAAAATTATAGATTTCAGGAATAGCAAATCCAAAAGGATAAATTTAGGATCACATAACATAGAACTTGAAGTCCTGCATCTTCGGTATGCTCATATTCTTTGAGAGCTTGATTCAAATTAGTCTGCTTCCTGTTTTGACATACCAATTATTCACAGAGAGAAGAAAAACAAGAAGTTATGGCAGTGCAGCATCCACGACGCCCAAGACTCTCCTCTCTCCAAGTACCTGTGAGGTCCTTAGACAGGACACTGTCCACTTTCACACGAATCGACATCAATAGTCCAAGTTCTGCCAGAAATGGCTTGCCTCCTAGACCAAACTCTGCCAGATTTATGTCATCTATGAAAAATCTGCTTCCACAAAAGAGCACCAGGGTAAAGAACCTTCCACGTGATGGTGAAAAAACTGTTCTTATTCTTCCAGATAGTACGCTTTCAGATCAGCCTACAGATAGGCCTTCAACTTCAAGGTCATTTTCTCTCAACAAAATTTTGTTCTCTTCTGCATCAACATCAGCACATTCTTTGCCAGCAACTCCAGTTGCTGATACCATTGCTGCAGTAAAGGAGAATAATTTAACTGGCCATTCTCAGCTATTGGTAAATCTCTTATTGTTTTAATATATTTACTTCAATAGAAGTTGAATGCTACTGCTCTTTTTCTCCCTTCTATTTTTGTGCTTTCTAATTATTATTTTTAATTATGAAGAAACCTGAGGTAGAGCAGCAGATGAGGCGTTCTTATTCAGTTCCTGTTAATGTAAAAACACGAAGTTTAAGGCAGACGGATTCTTCAGGTGGTCTCGTCCGAGTAATATCTGCAACCTCTAGGCCTAGATTGGAACTTGATTCCGTCGCAAATCACTCTGAAGATACAGATATTGGTACTCCTAAAAGTTGTACTTCAATTTGAAAATGAGGAGAAAGAGCCAAGTCCATATGAAGTATCTGATCTTGAATAACCATTTTCTTCTTTACAGCTTGTGATGTTGCTGGAGAAGATATTCCAGAAGAAGAGGCAGTGTGTAGGATTTGTTTGGTCGAACTAGGAGAAGGAGGTGAAACAATAAAGTTGGAGTGCAGTTGCAAAGGAGAACTTGCACTTGCCCACAAGGAATGTGCCGTGAAATGGTTTAGCATAAAAGGCAACAAAACCTGTGATGTTTGCCAGCAGGAAGTTCAGAACCTGCCGGTGACATTATTAAAGGTACAAAATCCAGCGAGGATAATAAGGAGGCCACCACCCATCACGCAGCAAAGGGAAGTGGCTCGTTACAGGCAAGTTGATAACATAAATCATGCATGATCTGTCCATTTAGCCTCATTTTGCTTTCATATTCTATGTTGATTCATTTGCAGTAAACGAGCAATTTAGGGCAGCACTTTGAAACTGAAAATTAAAGCTAATTCTAGAGCTCATGTCCTGTCTTATTTCTTCCTTCTCATTAGGATTTGGCAAGATGTGCCTATCCTGGTCATGATCAGCATGCTCGCGTATTTTTGCTTTCTTGAGCAGCTTCTGGTACTTTTGCTCTCTGTGCAACTTAATTCCATTTTCCTTTTCCAATGTTTCTTTGCAAATAAGTTGCCGCGCATGTCGCTGTGTTCCTTAACTGTTACTTCTTTTAATTTGCTGTGCGTGCAACTTTCCCTTGCATTGTAGTCTTTTGACCCTGGTTGCGAAGATAGTTTCTGTTCATAGAAATATTTACCCTTATAAATTCGTACAAATTTAATAGCGAGATACCACAAGGGAATCCAGACAAATTTTTGGTTTCATTCTTTCTGTAGTTTTGAATTAAAATAAAATTGTAAATGAACGAGAAAACATCCAGCATTCTGCTGCTTTCTGCATTTCAGCATATATTTTCTTGAAGCAAAATTTTTGTTATACCTGATGTCTTTATGCAGGTATCTGACAAAGGACCTCGTGCTCTTGCTATCTCTTTACCTTTTTCTTGTGTATTAGGCTTCGTATCAACCATGATAGCTTCTTCCATGGGTAAGGTTTATCTAAAATTTCCTTTTCTTTCTGGTCAAGTCGATAGAAATTCTATTATATAGTCATCTGGCATTCTTGTACAAATTACAGCATGTTTCATTCGTGGCGATAGATAATTTGGTTAGGTGAAACAAATCTGTTTTGGTAGTATAGAAACACTTATACACGTTCTTCCTGATATTGAACTTACAGATCCATCATGCCAAACATATTCTATTTATTCGACAGATTTTCCTACTTAATATTCTTGAAATGTTCATTCTTGATGAATTCCATACAATGCTTGGCAGTGAGTAAGAGTTATATGTGGGCTTATGCTTCATTCCAATTTGCAATGGTCATCCTCTTTGCTCACATATTTTACACAGTGGTAAAACATTCTCTTCCTTGTAGCTCTAGGCATTGCTTCTGGCAGTATATTTCCAACAGTTGCTTACCTTGCAGATAAGAGTAGACATAACTAATGATTAAATTGGTTCGTATTTGCAGCTCAATGTAAATGCACTTCTCTCAGTCCTGCTATCGTCGTTCACTGGTTTTGGAATTGCAATCAGCACCAATTCACTTGTTGTGGAGTACTTAAGATGGAGAACGAGTCGACAACAATCTTCTCAACAGCATCCAGATGGGATGCCGCAGCACCATGGACAAGAGCTAAGACACCAGGAACATCAGTACAATAATCATCTCGAAGATCATCATTTCCAACATTCAACAGTGAATAATCTCTCCGGTGAACCAGCTGACAGTAATAGGCATCTGGAAGCCAGGACTCCGGATCCATGATGTATGAGCTCCATTATAACAGGGGACCTGCAAATCTTGTAAGGCACAAATTGGGTAACCGGCAGCAGGACTTACTGGCCGGACAACGCAAAATCCCAACATAATATGGCTTCCATATGACTTGTGTACCCTTCAAATGCTCCAACATATTATGGATGTACCAGGTTTTGTTAGATTTTGGCCAACACAAGCTAGTGAAATATGTTAATCATTCAACCGAGATTTCAAATAGTACGAAGGGCTAATCCTTCTTATTTTTTGTACTCACGAGGCAGCAGGTTTTGGCGAGTGAGGAAACATTTCCCCCCTTTTTTTTGCTTCTTGTTTTCCAGTTTCTACCCTTTATATCTCAACATTGTGAGAACTGAGAAACTTATACCTTCCCTGATGCACCAATGGTCATTTAGAAAATAATTGATGGATTTTGTGTTTGAATTTCTCAGTCATCCAGAAACAGTATCATTTCGAACAGGATGCTTGAATAGAGACTATGTGAAATATTCTAGGAAGAAACCTAGTCCTAGACAGTCTCTGATCTGAACTGCTTGCACATTGCCACTTAATCATTGAAGAAGACTACACACGCATGGTAAAACTCGAGGAGAAAGCCATTACATTAAACCAAAATTCTGATAGTAGGAACACAATATGCTACAAATTGAAACTCAACAAGTAAAACTAACGTTTGCTAATACACATAATCTATGGTGTGCTCTTGGCAGCCGATTCTAACTCATGTTGTATACAAAGAGGTTGAGACGATCTCAATAATGGAAGTGCCATCTTTCACTGATCCAAATCTATCGCACAATAATTCTGGATTTGGGCTTGATGAGTGTTTCCATCAGCCTATACATCCATCTGTCTAACATTCCTGCCATAACCACCGTAGTAGAAAGAACATACGATACGTCAAAAACATGAAAACTAAACCTCACACTATCATTATTATATCATAAAACAAAAATGGAAAAAAATTGTCTTGCTTGCTGAACAAGAAATATCTAAAAGGAGTGCAGCAACAAAGCCCAATTCTTTAGCCCAATTCATCACTTATGTAAAACTAAACAAATTCTTATTAGTAAATTCTTTACTGGTAATGTGACTATTTAATCGAGGTATTAAATAAGCTAATCAAATAAATAGTGCTTGATGCAGCTACCTTTTGCTTGTAACATCTTCAAATCCATGGAATGAAAGTTACAGAAACAAAAGCTACATCTCAAGTTAGAAAGAATAAGAGTTCATTATTTTCTAATTCTTATTTTCTTGTACTTTCTCTGACATGATCTTCGGTCAATCAAGCATCAATTTATAGACTTCCCGTCCTTCTAAAACCTCATATCCTACCTCAAAATCCATTATCGTCAATGACAGACTAACGACCCGGAGACAATTACTCCACAGAAATGAGAGTGGAATCGAGACAGCTACAAGTGATTCGATAGCTCATTACATGAGGCTTTTGTATGGCAATGTTGGCCAACAATGTTGATTCATCTACATGCAACGGACCACTTATAACAGCCAATATTCTTCTCTTCGAAACCTAATATAACTACTCTTCATTGGATTTATACTACTAAAACAGCCCCATTGGTAGTGTTCCATTTTGAGCTATCTCTGAGCAGTATCAAAATTTAGTCAAGTAATAAATTGCACGCTACAAACACATTCTGTTAGTCAATTTTCGATTTGCTAACTATCTCTTATCCCATTTTATATCAAAAGGTAAATTACAAGACCAAACCTGTCAAGGCGAATGTCCCACCCAGTACAGCACAAAGCCGGGTAATGAAGTGGAGGAAATTGCGACGTTCTTCTCTGATTGTGACAGTAATTGGTGATAAATCATATAAAAAGTATACCGCTGCGTAGATTAGAAAAAATCAGTCAGTAGACTTCCAGCAATTAAAAGACCTTAAAAGTATAAATTACAGGAATTCTGCAAAATATTAAAACCAATAAAAACCTGGCCAGGTACGGTCAAACTCGGTCATGGGTGAGAAATACTCTGTAACCGAGAATTGGTTAGTTGGTAGCACTTCTTTCGAAATATAGTTATATTCTGTAGGGACAATCTGCACAGAGCAAACAAAGGTTATTGCAAATTCCCATGTGTTTAGAAAAACCAATTACTTCTAGATTATAACAGATGTAGCCAAATATGCTTCATGTGAACGCGAAAAGGCTAATAAAAAACCTATGGTCGAAAAATTAATGAATTCGGTTATTCTCAGTATCCAATGACTTGTAATAGGAAATCTAACATTTGAGAAACAACAGTAGCTTTATTTCTCTACTAAAAATTTCAAACCTTTATGTAGTACTTGAATGTACCACTTGTTTCCCGCAAAATCCTTGTTGTCCCATCAAGTGGGTTGTGAATGCCAGGATACTTAGGCCCAAACGATAAATCGTGAATAATATGACTGACATTGACATGAGTGGCTCCTTCAAATATCTGCAAGAAGAGCGGCACACATAATTTTATATACTTTCACCGAGTAACTGGGGATGAAAAACTATCTTGGCATTCTCTAGAATATACTTTCGCGGTTTAAAATTGGTCACTCATTAAAAACACAAACCAGAACACAGGTTCTTCAATCAACAAACGAAAGAAAGAGTCAATCTCGGAGTTTTACTTATTGCTGTATAATTCCAGAATTAGTTTTGCAGGATTGTGGCTTTAAAAAGCTGCTCTGCTCTTCACCAGTTACCAGACTGATCGTGGTACATTATCTTATTCCAGGAACATCCATACTTTAGCCTCTAACATTGCCAGGCAGACATGAATTGTGCACCGGACCGGAATAAAATCTAAATTTCATTCTAGGGTAGGGTATCAAGGTTTTCATATTTGCATAAAAAGATAATTCTCAGCATTCATCGGCTCTAATTTAATAAGTTCAACAAATCTAGAACAAACATCATATTCACAATTGCCACTTATAGTCAAAGGTAAAAGACAATGGCTGCAAAGACAACTGACCATTTGAGCAACAAATATATTCAACCCATGAACTGAAATATGGAAGTTCCCAGCAACCCTCTGCACATCTAGAACACCGTAGACCTGCAAGTGCAATGACCATTAATTATTTCAAACATCAAGAGAACCTGAACTTAAGAACACAGTGACAGCCTACCCGACAGCCTTCTCCATGAGACAGTGCTTGTTTCACCCTCTTGATCATATCTTCTGCTTCTTTATCAAAACCTTGCAGATGAACTTTACGGTCGTGGTCATCATGATGGTCTTTGAGATCATCTGCAATAACCAGCAATTATATGCTATTCAAAGCATCACATAAACATATTTACACATGATATCAAAATCTAAAAAGGCGCCAACTAAACACAATCTTAGCATTAGCAGAACAACATGCTGGACTCAGCATTCCACCTCCATTGTAAAATATGCATTGCAATAGATAAGTCCTACTATGCTTGACTTGTATATTTGACTAAGTTCAACAAATTGCATTTAGCAACAAGAAATCCAACAGTAGTGTGGAAAATGAAAATAATGACATGCCATGCCCAATAGTAGTTTATGGGTAGCATTCTGGTACACGTATGGACAACCGAAATAACAAAAGAGGACATCTAGTATTCCAGCTAATATGCAAAAAGTGAAATACCGGAACTCTTCCTTCTTCAAAAATCTGCACTCACTTGATCACAACTACAAGCGATAACAAGGGAAAGACCTCCCTTTTTCCTACATAATGCAAACACCGAGGCTTGGATATGGAAGCATATACATGTACATGAGCAAAACTGGGTGGGACAAAAGAGGCCAAGTGTTTTTCCCCAAACAGTGGCCTCTTAAATACAGAAACCTCTAAGGCTCTAACCACTGAGTTCAAAAGATCCCATTAAATCACAAATTCTGTCATCCTGGAGCTGGAGGGCAAGGCAACAAGAACTATAAACTAATGCCAAGAATAACTTCCATTCATGTACTTTAAAGGGCATCAATTCACTTTTCTAGGTAAGAAGCATATCTACAATTACTCAACACTTGCAATTGAAGTTGCTATGCTTCTTTTCAATAATCTTTTTCCATGCCATCTCTCATCCAGCCCTCACACAATAAGATTGTTCTTTTGAATAAAAAATCCAAGAAAATTTAACATGAGGGATGTCATTACAAATTTCCAAATTCGACTCATGTCAATGATTTTATACAAATTATGATTTATGCCCCAGATAAAAACTGCATTATATGGGAAAGCGTAAAGATGAAAAAATTTTACCATGGTTGTGTGCAGCGTGCTCCTTCTCCACAAGATCGGACAAGTATTCAGTACCAATTATAAGTCCGTTGCTGTTCAGCCGTAGCTGCAAAAACCCATTCAATCAGAAAAAAGAGCAAATTGGGATGTATCTAATGCTAAAAGTTCACGGTAGGGAAGGAGAAAGGGGTGCAGAATCCTACTAGGAGATATTCTGATACGAAATGAACTACCAAGGAGATACTCCGTACAGTACATTGAGAGAATAACTTCAGCAATATAGGATTCAAAACACATTCATTTTCTAATTCAGAATAAGGTGGTCAAACCAAGATCCCAAATAAATTACTTTCCCAGTAACAGTCATTCCAACATAACTAGAACCAATTGGTCAACATAGTTTTGGCACAATTAAACAATGCTAGACAGGAATCTAAAACTTCAGCGGTCCTCAATGTTTCTAAGGCACCTATCTCTCGGAGTTTCAAATGCACACACACACACACACACACACACAGAGAGAGAGAGAGAGAGAGAGAGAGAGAGAGAGAGAGAGAGAGAGTCAACCTTCCATATATTTGTGTCAAGGTCTACCTCATGCTTTCCAGAGAGATCAATAGCATCAACACTGAGAACTGGAAGGACACAAATTTTAGAAATCAAAGACGCGAGCTCAAAGACCTACTAGAATGATCTCATCCCAATTGCAGTCATTTCATAAAAAAAATACAAATAAAAAAAGCAAGGACACGTGATAAAGTACTAACCATCGCATGGTAAAGAAGGAAAAGTCATATTAATATGGATTGGTAAAGTTTCTCCTCGTTTCAAATCAACGGCCATCTGTAAAGGGACAAGTTATTCTTATCAAGAGAAGTCACCAGAGCACCTTGAATCATACAAAGTGGAAAGAGATGCAGAAAGCAACAAGTAACTAAAAAGCAGCAGATCTTAAACTGTAAAGACAACAATATCTGCTAACCGGAGGAAGAACAAGAAAACTTCAAGACCTGATGAACAATATTCGTAGTGAGATAGTATCTCAGCTCGTGCACGAATAACGTTGCCATGATGATTAGTCCAACAATGGAAACTATAGAAACAGAAAAAAAAAAAAAAAAGCATCAAGTTAGCAATGTAATGTTATAATCAGTAGCAAATAAATTCAACACCTAAAATGTACTGTGGCAAATAGTTAAAATGTCAAAAACAAGGTAATTTTGAAACCCAGATCAAGTCAGAGTACATTAAAAATTAGCTAAGGCCAGGCCTGATAAGTTGAAACACAATTCAGATTTATCAGACCCCGGTTCACTCACTTTCAATGGATGATACTCCCAATTCAGTGTACTTCAAGCAATGATTTCGTGAAAATAAAATTTTTATGGCCCTCCATATTGCTCCAATTTTCTTCTACCAACATATATCGCTACTATCGGTGATGTGGACAAGAAAGGGTAGGAGAACTCTATCTCTAGGTTCTTCTGTACTTATGCCAAGGATCATCATGATACAAGGAAGAAACCAAAGTATTAGAACTTTGGTTAGTTAATATTCATAAGAATTTAAATAAGCAGAAATTTGATTAGTTGTTATTTTAGTATTTTCAAGAATAAGGGGTACTTCAGTAATTTTTCTATGTCCCACATTTTTCTGAGTTCCCATTTTTTGGTATTCAGTTTAATTACCTAATAGATTAAGTTTTAGGTCGTCAAAAGAAATTTAGTTTTAGGAAACTAAGACTAAATTTCCTATTTGTTGTTGGTTTGTAGTTTTAGGTCCCGGGAAAAAGCTTTGCTACGGCATTGTTGTGTGATACAACAAAACCCCTTGGTGTGATGCCAAAGGGCCCTAAGAGTGATTCTTAGGTTTTCTTCCTGTTCTCCTGCGATTTTTACCTTGTTACCCTACAGAATTCTTTGAGTTTTTTTCCCACTGCATTCTGCTCTGTAGCCAGCCTAAGACCTGGTTTTCTTAACTACCACACTCGTCCTAGTTCAATCGGACAGAATGCAGGCTTTGAAATATACACCTATATCTACAACATTGATAGTGAGTTCAGTTTTCTGTATGCTAGAAGCATGTTTTAACCATTTCGAACCACTGAGGTTGTTCTCTGTCATTTCCAGCTAATCTCCAGGTGATTTTCACAATAAACTTGAACCAGTCATCAAAGTTTCACGGAGCAACTATAGAATAAACTATTCTACCATTTTTTGCTTTAAGCTTTATCATCTGCTACCTGACTTGCTATCAAAGCTATAATTATTCAAACAAAGGAATAGGTATTTACAACTACTCCAACTTCCAGCTGAAGCGCTTTTCGTTAGTCACTAAAATATGACTCCAAGACAAAGTTTCCAGACAGCCACCCATATAATACCATTCAAATCCTAAGGTGCACCATCATTGGATTTCTGTATTCTTAAGCCCTTGCCATTTTAAAATGATTTGAGTGCATCATTGGCCTGATTAAAGAACTCTTGGTGCATCTAAAGGTCTCAACCGAGTCAGAACCCCAATAAACACACAGGCCTCATATATGTGCCAGAACCACCATAAACACGTTGCAATCAATTTCATCGAATCTACTAAATATTTTTGCAAGTGTATTAGCGACCTTCACGAGACAAATTTCACTACATGAACAACTCATCTCATTTAAAAAAGAAAACAATAAAAAATATTCTGAAAGGGAGATGATCATAGAGAACTCTAGAGTAAATTAAGCTGGTAAATAATTAAGGCAAAAATATACTGATGCAGAGGTGAAGAATGTACCAAAAGCTCCAGACTTTGTTTTCTGCAATAAGTGTTCTTCAGCTCGCGGGAACGCATCCAAGCTCCTAATTGCTTGTTTCAAACCCATTTTCTTAATCAATAATATAATAATCCCTGCATTATATGCCAAAAAAATTAACAGATAACAAACTAGCAACGATTCAAATCCAAGACCAAACCAAAACTTTCATAACAATATTTTGAAATTCGAAGACTTCCGAGTTCTAACAGAAACTGACTAAATCAATTGACACGTTTTCAGTTAGTCAAAAGACATCGAAAAATTGAAGCCAGCCAACAAAGGGGAAAAAACGAACGCAAATTACAGGGTGGACAGAGTCCGTCACCGACGACGGAAGAGGAGAATTGGAGGTGGCAACGCCGGGATTATCTCGCCGGTAACGGGAAGAAGCCGCGTTAATTTGGGAACCGGTCTTCGATCGGAATCGCACAGAAGATTGTTTATTTCAAAGTTATCATTTCTCAGTTTTTGTTTCCAAATTCTAATCTTGTAAGGTTTTTTTGGTTTGTTTCAGTGATTCTGGGCAAGCTCGCCGACTGTCAGGCCCAATAGATTATTAGGCTATTATTAACTTTTTCGGCCTGCAGAGTCCAATGGGTACTCCCCCAAAAGGTCCAAAATTTAGGCAGCTCTCACATGATAGACAAAATATTTGGACATGGATCTGGACTTTACCAATTCGAAGATGAAAAATGATAAAACAATGGGAAAAAAGAAGAAAAAAAATGATGAAAACTCTTGTTCCCGTCTATTACTAATAGCAGAAAAGGTCAAAGATTTATGAATGAATGTTAAATATCTTTTCTGTTGTGAAATGATGAATAAAAAAAAAAATCACATGACCGGAAAAAGTTTTACATAAAAAGAAATCTATAAGATAATGTTCATCAATAACTTTTATTTTTGGTATTTTATACAAAAAAAGTTACCCATGAATGGCAATGGAAGAATATAGTTCTTTGGACCCAAAAATGAGAAAATGAACAATTTGATCCAAAACTTGCGCCCCGTGTCAATTTAACCTAAAAGAATACTCAGAAGGCAATTTCATCTGAATAGTTTCACTTTTTGGCAAATTTCGTCTAATTCCGTTAATTTCAATCTTATCCCGCTAGTTGATTAATAAAATAATAATATTTTATCACTAGAACTCCCCTATAATTTTAAAATACAAAAATAACTCCCACAATACATAAAATTATCACTCCACCCCTTTTCATTTTTTATAACGAAATCCAAGGTGGTACCTAGCGGTCATTCCTTTGATTTTATTAAATAATAAATAAAATTATAAAAGTCAGTGCTTAAGACTTGGCCAAATAAAAGAACTATCTATTAAAATGTTCTACTAAATTTGTTGGTACTTAAATGAAGGTAAGGATAAATAAATCTATCTATATGCGGTTCTCTCTCTCAAAGCGAAACCCTAACCCTAGTTCGCGATGACAACAAACTTCCCTTTGATCTTGGGCTTATGGCTGCTGGCCCTTCTTTGGCGATCACCACAGGGCCGCCACGGACCTTTGAAAGCTTTTTCTAAACAACCTGTGGAATCAAAATTCGCAGCTAATAAATAATATAAGCAAGTTATGTATGTAAATGGCTCACCGGTTCTTGAACTTGAAGATGACAAATACGAGAAGCTTATTGCCCCTCACCAATGGGATTTGGTAGGCAAATTCTCTTATAGAAGGCCCAAAATGGAAGAGTTCTGAAAGAAATTGGAAAAAGTAGGGTTTCAAGGAGTCTTTGATGTTGTTCTAATGAACCCTAGACATATTCTCGTAAGATTCGAAAGAGAAGATGATTTCCAGCATTGTTGGATTCAAACTTCGTGAACATGAAAGGGTTTTCTATGCGGACTCTTAAATGGCAACCGCATTTCAAATTTGAGGAATGTCCTCCAGTAGTGCCAATATGGGTTGCCCTACACGAGCTGCCGGTTGAGTTTTTGAATCCATAAATTCTATTCTCAATTGCCACTGTGATCGGCAAACCTCTAGAAGTCGACACCCCAACTTTGAATTTAACATACCCCTCTGTAGCTCAAATTTGTGTCGAAGTAGATCTCACGAAGCATAAAGAATTTTCAGTTTCTATAAAAATTGAAAGAAGGGTAAGAAATATGAACATTTTTTTACATATGAGTATATCCCTTCATATTGTGTGCAATGCTACAAAATTGGTCACAAGGACTCAGAATGTAGGTAGAAGAAGGTTTTAAGCAATGATCTGGGGGGGGGGGGAGACGCTTGACGCAAAACAGTTGCGGGAGGACAAGCTGATCAAGCAGAAGCAGCACAAGGCAAAAGGAATTTTGGTCAAACAATCGCCTAAATGGTAGCCTAAACCTAGAAATGCAACAGAGAAATCTAACAAACTTGTACTTGAAGTGGAGAATCAGGCAAAGACAAGTTCTTCGGGGTTAATAAGAAAGGAAAAAAAAAATTCCAGTTGACGTTGTAGATGACACAGGGAAGCAGCCACAAAAATCAATTGCTCAAAATCCTTCAATGGTGCTGGATGACAATACACGGTGCGCTGTTTTGCCTCTGACTGCAAAAAATAGAAACAGATTTGGCCCTCTGGAAAATTTGGAAGTTTGACACCTCCAACAATGACAAATCCTTCAAGGGGTGCTCACTTTGACGATTAGAATCAAGAGGAAACATCCCAAAAATTCTCAAATGATGCACATGAAGATGTTCAAGCTGAGGAATTGAATCAAATGGAAAAATCACCAGCTATGGGCTCACTAAATAAAATACATTATGCTTCGAATGACGATCATCTTGCGAAGAGAAGTAGTATGCTGGAGGAGATGCTGGGAGATAAAGGAAGATGGTCTGAGGGTGAATTGGAAGAGTCACATCTTGACGATCTGAGTTAAGGTATCATCACTGTAACTTGGAAAAGAGGACGGAAAATGACGGCTAAAAGACTGAAAATGGAGGAAGGCCTAGTTCCTAGGTGATCTGCACGTTTCCTCTAAGTTTGGTTTCTGTCTCTCCAATTTTTTTAATGTTTAAGCAACTAATTTAGAATATTAGGGGAATAAAGAATAAGGTGGCTCAGTTGATATTAAAGATGCCGATTCGAATGCATTCAATATCTTTTCTAATAATTCTAGAACCGATGATCGAGAGCCATCATATTGAGGAAATACGAAGAATGTTGCAGTTTCATGTAGCTTTTTCTTCATCCTCTAATAAAATTTGGGTTTTCTATCAAAATGTGTTCAGCGTGGTGTTGCTGGCTGATCGAGAACAAGTACTGCATTTTGAAGTGTCACATCCATCTTTGGAAGATGGATTTTATGTTTCAGCAGTTTATACGAAATCCACCAGCTTAGAATGCCGAAACCTTTGGTCTGATTTGAGGTCATTTCGGGGAGCATACTAAAGAGTTTCTTTTCCTCAAGCAGGCACAACATCTATCACCTCATACTGACTCTAACATGAGAAGGCAGTATAGGGAACAGTAAAAAATTTGTCTCAGAAATAGGTGTCATCAGAGACAGGTTATGTACAAGTAAAGTTCAAAACCACATGCGCAAGACAGAAACTCACTTCCAAGTGTGTGTATGACATAACACAGAACAAAGTGTTGATTTTCCTTTTTAAGTTAAGTTCAATTCAACAAAAGTGGAAATTCCTGGATCTGTACCTATTTCCACCGAGTCTGCAACTAGGGTATTCTAACTGGAATTGAGACTAAGGGCTTCCACTCTGAACTGCTAGCACATTGGCTACATCTTGCACCCTCATACTTGTGAGATCCCCATAAGCTAGCATGTGAAGCTGGCTCGTGGAACAAAGTCCCCACATCGGTGGATGGTAGGGAGGATGATCAGTATATAAGGTTCATCTGCTTGGTATACTAGTAACTTGGGTTAGCCATTTTGGATACAGCAAGGATGAATACCCAATAGTTATTGGTATAGACCTAACAGTTGGGGCATTACAATTAGTATTAGATCTGACCTAGTCCGGGTGCGGACCCACCTCTGAGCTCACAATTAGGAGACAAGCGCGGACACACCTCTGAGCTCATAGCTATGAGACAAGTGAAACACATCTGTTCTAGGGGACCCTGGGCCAACTGTATGTGCTGGTGTGTGTCTTGGGCCTTGCGGGGACGCAAGAATCCAAAAGGGAGTTGAGTGTGAGATCCCCATCAGCTAGCATGTCAAGCTGGCTCGTGAAACAAAATCCCTCACCGGTGGATGGTGGGGGGGGGGTGATCAGTATAAAAGGCTCTGCTGCCACCTATACTAGTAATTTGGGTTAACCATTTTGGGTACAACGAAGACGAATAATCAAATAGTTATTGGGACAGACCTAACAGTTGGGGCGTAACAATACCCTTTTCTACCATTTGTCCAAGTTGGCTTTCTTCTGTATCTTTCCCACTCAGGCCTTTACCAAGCACATTTTCAGCGCTTTTATGGCATTCTAACCATCTATATTTTTCATCTCACCAGGTCTAAGGACACTCCTCTCCTTAGGTGTCATGCCTCACCTCTCAAGGATTTATAATGCCACATTAGACACTCTGCCTATACTCTCTCAATAAGCTAAACACTTAACCTCAGTTTTAACCGCCAACTCCCCTTTTTCCCAGGTATTTCAGGCTTTTCCAAACCACTATGAGCTCAAATCGAGACTACCATACTGGCTGCGTTAATCTATTTCCAGGATCACAGTCTCCCCAGGTAACAGACAAGTGAGCTCCTATATAGATCACAACAATGCAGGAAAATTTTTCAAATTTTAACCTTTAAGTCTAAAACAACACTTTGTCAAGTGAACTGTGTGCATAAGAAAGTGGAAGTAGATTTCAATCTTGGTCAATTAGTTTTTAAACAAGTGTTCAGCAAAATGTGAGCCTTAATTCTGTTTTCATCCTCGACATTTGACTATCTACTTAGCATGCATTCTCAATTTGACCTAAACACAAAAGATCACACAAAAACTAACTAACTTAACCACAGACAGAAAAAACAAAACAAAGGAAAAGCCGAGAAAACAGGGCAAACAACCCAAAAACAGAACACACGTATACAC